GTACTATTTTCAATAACTCAAGCAATATTTGTGAAAGTACTTTATAAATTAGAAAACACTACTGAAATGCTCCTGTGAGTTATTGAGCTATGCATTTTTGGGGGGTTCTTGTATTTCACCTTTCTTTATTCTCTATCTAAGCAGCCATCCCTGTATTCATGCCATTGGAGGAATGTGATTCTGCAGAGCAGACATTTGGCTGGAGCCTCCCTGGTTTTTTTTTACCGCTGGCGACCGTTCTGACTGGCTGTTGTATCTGCTCTGTTGGTCAGCACTGGTGTCATTTTGGTTATTAAATATTATTAAATATTTCGGGTATCATTGTGTGGTTTCATGAAATGACATTTAGATGTATTCTAGGGAGAAAAGGGAAATGGGCTGCCACCATCACCATTTTTTACAAAAGTTAAATGGGGCCCAAAGAGGTTTAATGACTTTATTAGAATCTTAGAATCAATAAATTATAGGATTGGGATTAGAACCCAGATGGGCCTTCTTCAAAGTCACATGCTTTTCTATTTATTATACTGCCTGAATCCATTGCCATGTTCCAGTTTTACTAATGAACTAATGGCCCGGTGCATGAGTTTGTGCCCATTGAAAGGGATTTAATTAGAAGAAATATTTTAATATCACTAATTGCCCTTTCTTTATAATCGAAGTGTCAGAGATTAAAGAAAATTAGAAAAATGTATATGAAAGTAATATATAAATTTATTAATAAATAAACAATAACATCATATTACAAATGCAAACATATGATATAAAAACAACAAAAACATGATATAAGAACAACATTGATTTGGCTGATTCTGTGAGGGACAGGGCTCCCGCCGCCCTCCTGTCTGCGTCCTTGGTGCGGGTGAATGGGAATCCGGGCTGACAGGCCGCTGACAGCAAGCTGAACAATGGCCGATTCCATGAGGGATGGGGCTTCCTCTGCCCTGCTGTCTGGGTCCTGGGTGCAGATATTTGGCTCCCTTCTCCATCCTGTCAAAGTCTGGACCGGCATCCACAGGGATACAGCGTCAAGTCCTCGCCTGTGCCCGCAGTGAAGCAGCGTCAAGTCCTGCCAGCACTGTGAGACCCAGAGTCAAGTCCTGGGTGTGGGTATCCAGCTCCCTCTTCCATCCTGTCAGAGTCTGGGCCAGCGCCAGCGAAGAATCAGCATCAAGTCTCCACCCACACATGCACGCGTCACTGCGCACGCAGCCCTGCCCACCCGGGTGTGCCTGTTGTACATGCACCCTCCTGGTGATCAGTCATTATGGCGTGAGGGCGTCACAACCACAGACTTTTATATATAGGACTAGAGGCCCGGTGCACAAAAATTTGTGCACTCGGGGGGCGGGGGAGGGGGGGTCCCCCAGCCCAGCCTGTGCCCTGTCGCAGTCTGGGACCCCTTGGGAGATAACGACCTGCTGGCTTAGGCCTGCTCCCGGGTGGCAGAGGGCAGGCCCAATTCCTAAGTGCAGCCCCTGGTCAGGCTCAGAGCAGGGCCCATTGGGGAGTTGGGGCGCTGCCCCCCGTCATGCACAGAGCAGGGCGGATCGGGAGGTTGGGATGCCACTCTCAGTCACGCTCAGGGTGGGGCCGATTGGGGGGTTGGGGCACCGCCCCCTGTCACACTCAAGGCAGGGTCGATGGGGAGGTTGCGGCACCACCCCCTGTCACGCACAGAGCAGGGCCGATCAGGGG